TCCAGCAATATATGGTAAGACAGAATTGAGCGACTAGACCAGTGGTCGGCATTTCTTAGCACAATTGTGCAAACTAACTGCACACGTACGCTTACGCTCTATCGTTCAGAGCTAATGAGATGTTTAACTGCTCTCTCACTGGAGGTGAGACAACAATTGCTAAGCGTCAAAACCACCTAGACTTTGACAGTTGATCGAGTTCAGGAGGGTTTGACGTTTAACAATTGGAAATGAGCGATGGCCAGATTGAAATCTTAGCAAAAAAATATGTAAACGGAGGGATTTGTTGCATCGTTCAATACCACTTATAAAAAATGTAAAACAATGAATATTAAATACATTTGTGAAAATTAAAAGTATTTGGTGAAAGATTTTGTAATTTGAAGCATCATAGTATTATTTTCAATGGCAAATGATTGTTGGTTGTTTTAATTTAAATGCCCAAAAATTATTATTTTGCCCAATCTGGGCATAATGGTTCCATAATGRAAAATGTTACAAAAAACGCTAATTTTGAGGTGCTCTCACACTGGAATATGTTGAACATCCCTTTATTCCTGGTTCAGTCGTTGTCGATTCACGCATTACCATTTCACATTCCACATCACTAAACACACCAAATATCACGATCGCAACGAAACGACGAAAATATATATTATTTGGAAAATAATTGCAACATTCCTTATAATTGACCGACACGATCAATTAAGCTTGCGCAAATTTTATTTGGTCAAAAAAAAAAAGGAAACGATTATGTTTAATAAAAAAAAAAGATACATACAATATAGTAAAAAAATACTTGTTGTTTTGTATTTTTTAATTTATTATAGTTTGGTGAGATAGAACTGCACCTTATAAGTTATAATTTACAACCAAAACTGAAATCTAAGGACGAATATAACTAGAACCTATGTTCACTATTTGCTACGTAACTTTGTACAAGTTCACCAATTTTCTTATGCTCCCAATATCTTCTGTTGCACCGATAAAAACATCAAGCGACCAACTCAATGGCTGACATAAGATAACGAATTTCCTTTTCCAACGCAGTAACTGTCGTGAGATAAGGAATTTGTTCACTCAACCCACGTGTGAGTTCTCCATCTGWGGATGATCTACTTGTGTAAACTCCGACCCTTTTAAATGTAAGCCGCCAGGTTTCCTCAGGCTGAAAATAATAATTTCTAGGTAAGATATGCGTCTCTTTTCTTTTAATTTTTTGAGCATACTCAAAGTATAAAATTCGATAGCCATGATGAGAAAGATAGCCACGCTGCAGGTCTTTTTGTCAGCCTATTTTCTATGTCTCCAATATATTGTAGATTCTTGTAAGTATGATAGATTCAGAATTTCTTGATGACCAGTGATTTTCAAGAATGCCGATGTCACTGAGCTGAAGGATCGTCCAACAAWATTCTTCATATTCGAGAATAGAGACCCATTTATTTTAACTTCTTCATCTGATGTCACCAGCAATGTGCCATAGATGGCTTTTCCGGAACTGTTATCCATTTTTATAATAGTAGTTGCTATCGTTTAATAKTATAATACCACCGTCCATTAATTACTTCCTGGGATGGGTATTGCAATGCGCCCTGCCACCAGAGTGTAGTTTTTGAGCACAAGTGGGTAGGGTAATTTGCAGAAAGTCTTCGTGAATGTGTTGGTGAAATTTTCAATTTTTCAGGATTAGCGAAATGTACTATTGTGACGTTGTGTTCGACAGGAAAAAGACTAATCTTTTACAAACTAAGCTGGGTTCAGGATATTTAATTATAAAATATAGGAAATTACGATCTAGTGTTACATTGACATATGCTTACTTCCATTAAATCTATTGTTGTCATACTTGTAGAGTGCTCATTTAAAATTTTTTCTATATCTTTAGAATCGAGAATAAGAGGGTTAATAACGCAAAGACATGCGTGTAATTGTCAACAATAGAGTTTCAAGTTCTGAGATTAACTTTCTATCCCTTGCGAATAATATTTCATAGAGGTGACCAGTATCGATTTCTGTATCTTTTGCATAATTAACGATAGTATTTACGGTTTCTATTACTTTGTTAATTCGTTACTGTATATGGATATTTATTATTGATTGTCTATCTATTKATTCAATTAGCTTTTGTTGGTTGAAGTTTTTCAAAATCATCAAAGTCGGGAGTTGAAACAACCACTTTCAAAGCAGTTCCTTGAATATAAATACCCCTTTCTTGCCTATGGTGAATGCTAACTTTTTATAAAAGTGTTTCTATACGATCTATACCAGATTTTAATTTTTTTTTTCATGTGAGACTGGGGGAAGTKTTTCATAAGGAATCTTGTTTTACCAGCTATTTCTGAATCCATGCTTAAATTAGTTGCGTGTCTAATATATTTAAAATACTACCAGATAACTGTATTTCCATCGATTAGTGTAATCCGAGTGTGTATAATCGGATAGATATCCTAAATACAAAAATATAGTTTAGAATAGGAAATGAAATTAAGACTCTCTCTGTTTTATTAGAACAACTTTTCTCAAGTAGGCTTCTATTGTAGCTTCTTCATAGAGAGGCGCAAGTTTGTTGCCTAGCCTCTTATTTATTTTGATAAATACTGTATCCTAAATACAAAAATATAGTTTAGAATAGGAAATGGAATTAAGACTTACCTTAAATTGTTTTTATGGACCTCTCTCCTTGTTATTAGAACCACTTTTCTCAAGTAGGCTTCTATTGTAGCTTCTTCATAGAGAGGCTCAAGTTTGTTGCCTAGCCCCTTATTGATAAACACTTATCCCCTACCTGAAAAGTTCTGTTACGTCTTGTCTCATTATGTGTTCGTAGTTCTATTTTTTTTTTATTATTCTCCTATATCTGCTTCAAGATCTGGTGAGTAGGAGTAGAGATGGGTCTAGACCTGGGTATTTACCCATTTATACCCRTTTTCATACCCGGTTATTTATCTAATTTCGAGTAAATACTCATTTGAATAAGATATACTGGTTTTTACTTAAAAYAAAACAACGAGTTCAAGACATGCTTGCATCCAAAGTGGCAAAAATCAAGATACAGACAGACAGTTATTCTCCGCCTTCATCTGATTTAAGAAAACATCTTTTTTCGAATTTAGCACAATACAGCTTAGCTAAGGCTATATTTGTAACCGGCGCTCCTTTGGCAATGGTGGAGCACCCATTGTGGAAGCACTTTTTTAAGGACCTTAATCCACATTCCAAGACTCCAAGTAGAAAAACGATTTTCAGCATATATCTGGATAAAATTTATAACGAGATGAGTATGGACATCACTCTGCAACTAAACGCAGTAAGTTTTTTACATATTCAATGTGATGGATGGAGTAGCATTCGTAATGAAGATGTTGTAAACTTTCTCATATCATAGCCAGAAACTGTATTTGTGAAAAGTCTGTCAACACAGGCCAATCGGCATACAGCTCAGTACTTATCACAGGAAATTATTAAAAACATGAAGGAATACGGTGAACAAAATTTTTTTTGTGCTAATTGGTGACAATGCTGTAAATATGCAAAACGCGTTCAAAATAGTAAAAGAGGCCTACTCGAATATTGTACCTATGGGTTGTGTAGCGCATAGCCTTCATTTTTTGTGGCCTTATGTTGGTCCTCATGTCTTTCACTTATGCTAACAAGCTCGGCCATTTTGAATGTTCATTTAATTGTTGACAGCTGCTTTGCTTGCACGTGTTTTGGATCGTCTTCGATTTTTACCTATTCAAAAAAATGGATCAAAGAACCTGTATCAAATTTTGTGTGAAAAACGAAATTAAGTGCGCGGATGCATTCCGAATGTTGACTGTGGTATACGGGGAAGCTACCTTGGATCGAAGTAACGTTTATCGGTGGTACAAAATGTTCTCAGAAGACTGAGAAGTTGTGACAAAAATTGGYTTTYGCACCACGACAAGCGCTCTGCTCACACATCGTTGCTTGTGCGCGACTTTTTGGCCAAAAACAACACATTAATGATGCCGCAGCGTCCGTATTCCCCAGATCTGGCCCCTTGTGACTTTTTCTTGTTCCCTAAACTGAAGAGGCCATGAAAGGCCGACGTTACGCTTCTCTTAACGAGATAAAGACGGCATCGAAGGAGGAGCTGAAGAAAATAAAAAAAAATTATTTTTTGAAGTGCTTCTACAAAATAGATATCCATGAATGAATAAATAATTTTTGAAAAAACACAAAATTCGCGATACGGTTTGAACACACCTCGTATTACGTCAAATGGTCTCTTATTGATTATAGAGTGTACTGACTTATTATTCAATTGTTGCTTGAAGTATTCATTTTATTATGTAATTAATGTGTTTTTACAGTTTCAAGCACCTAGCAATTTTTGCGAGGGTACTATGTAATCTTTCTACCTTTCCATTTGACGTACTATGGAGTGGTGGAGAGTTTATAATTTGAACGTTAAAACTATTTTCCAGAAGTGGACTTGTGCCCGAATTTAAAGAAGGTTTATTTKCSCAAAATATAATTCTAGTATGCGCATAAAAATTCCTAAGTTATAGGTTCTATGTCAATTATTATTCTCGACGCTGTAGGTTATACTACAGCGAATTTTGAAAATTTATCGATACAAGTCAAGAAAAATTTTTTATCTGCAGRAAATATGTCAATATKKAGTATTTCACTTACATGAAAAGGGATAGGTATTTCGGCGATAATATGTTTTTGCGGGTGTCGGTCATATTTCGTTTATAAACCGGGGCATCTTTGAGAAAAAATAGTCTTGAATTATTTGTTTACTATTTTTTGGGCTGCCCTGTGTACCTTGTTGTGCTCGGCAACTCTTGTCAACAACGTCTATTACCAATTATTTCGAGAGCCAAAATTTTGTTGTCGGGGAATTCBCTACAAATTTACTTTGAATATGTCCGAGTCGGTAATTTCCACACAATTACGTTAACCACATCCTTATTGATTGCRTTTTACACTTTATTATGTTGAGGAGAGTGTGCTTTCTTCAATGATTAKTTGATCTCGAAAGCAGCGGCAGACTCCGATTTGTCCGTGGACTCTATGACGTATGTCAACGATAAGTTGCTATCCACASTGGCCAAATTAGATGATACATCTTCTTCTAAGGCATGTAAATTTTGCCTTGTTATAGCGTCAGCCATAAAATCTTTTTCCCTGGCTAATAGCAGATTTGTACATTACGTTCACCGATAAAGGCTTTCCATCTTTACATTTTCGCGTTTAAAATTTTATTCGAAACTTCAAGGATAAACGGCTAATAGTTGGTAGAAATTTTTAGATTTTTTACCGCCATACAATAGTTTGTTAAGATTTTTAATGTCCAGCAAGTAACTCACGCTCGTTTGTTGCGAAATTCTGTTCGTTATCCCTAAGGGTCCTATGTAGAAATCATAGCAATTGGTTTCCCAACTTGGGATAAAACTGCTCATAATCCAAAAGATGAGGCATCTGTCGTTAAGTCAAATGGTTTTTGGTAGTCAGGAGAGAGCATCATGACGTTTTCCGGAATAAGAATATTTTTTAGTTTGTCGAAAGCTAGTCGTTGGTTATCATTTTGGCTTACTGGTATCTTTTTTRATTGACCGGTACTCCTTTCCGCTTTATCACCCTTCAGAATTTCTGTTAGTTGTTTCGCTAAGTCTTTGATAAATCATCTGTAATAGATTGCCAAAAATGATCGAACTTGGTTGGTTGTTCTAATCTGCTAATAGCTTCTTGGGTTTGTTGTAATGCCTCCTCGTGAGAACAGAATTCCGACATACTAGACGTTTTCTTTGAAAAAGTGCGAATTTTCTCGTGAAACGTTCATATTGACCGTATAGAGTGTATCTAATACCCATGATATATGCCTTACATTGCATGCCTTACTGGTCTTCCATGTTTATCCGTTGATTTTCCCATTCGCTCTCAAAGTACATCGTCAACAGCTCCTTCCGCAAAATTCGTACTTCCCATTTGCAACGGAAAAACTTGTTTCTTCTGTTCTTTTCAGCAAGTAATATTTGGTGATATGCAAAGTCGGGTGTGGTAAAGTACTTGGCTTTATCGATATTTGACAGAATTGCACTTATATTTGGTATGGGTTATTTATCATCAATCTTTTTGGAATTTAGTTTCCTAAAGTCTCTAACTAGTCGTTTCTTCTGTTTTCTTGTTCGTCTAATCCTTTTTAACCTACAACCTATACTGGATTATTGTAGGGTGATGTTCTAGGTGAACTAATTATATTAAATATAAGTTACTAACTTTCCTTTTTACAAAGGAATGGGCTTTAATTTTGCGTTTTTTGTCTGCCAAAAAATGCAGTTTTAGCCAGATGCATGATATTGATGTTTACTTCGATACTCGTTTCGATGATTTCGAAGATTATACTCAACTTCTTGAGCTAAGACAATGCTGATGGCAGGCCATTTGAACGTGCCGCAAAAAGAATGTCACTTAAGGATTTTTTCGTGACTGAAATAAATACCCTCAGTGCATCTGTTCTGTACTTGTCGTTAAGAGAGGAATCTGAGGGGTGTCATGTGTCATCATAATTTTATTAAGGAGGAACATTAACTTACTTACTTATYAACAAGCTTCCTTGACATAGAGTCGATAACCCTTGTTCCATAAGCTACAGACGTAGGTCCTTTTTTAGCGTCGGTAAAGTCTAGTCTGTTAATAATAGATTTAAAATTCAATGGTATATCGTATGAGGACAGCACCATGTCAGCGGAGCCCCTTCCATTATTTCTAACAATGTCAAATGCTTGGTAGTGTTTAAAAATTCTCACATAACTCTCAAAAAGTTTATAAGCCATATGAGCAGCCTTACACTATGAGACATATGTATGTCTCGTGTTTCCTTGCGAAGTCACGTAGTGACATTACCATGTCTAATGTGTCATCGCAACATATTTCTGGTACTATTTTTTCTTCTTTTACGAAAAATACGCATACGACACACAGATAATACGATGCAAATAATTCAAGACAATCATCGTTTTTACGATGCTTTGCAGTATCCTTTGATATTTTGGGAAGGAGAAGATGGACACCATTTAAATATTAAACAAAGGAATCCAACTACAGAAAACTTATAAAATATCTTAAAATTTTTTCAAGTCAATAGCTTCTGTTTTTCTCATAAATATGTATATTCATTTGCAGGTGAAGTACTGATGAAGACAGTTAGTGCTATGAACTTCTACGTATATCGGTTGATGATTCGTGCAATGCAGACACCTTTTTTTCTACCAAATATAATATAATTTTCAATGAGTTACAGCTTTAAAAGCACCAGGGTTTGGATACTTAGTAATAAAAGTAAAAAGTTGGAAAAACACTCAAAGCTATTTTTTATTTGAAATTAAAAAATAATACATAATTTTTCAAATGTCCCCCACTAAGGGGCACATTTCACTTATTCATCTTTTATAGTTTGCTTCTGAATGTTTTCYTAAAWTAACAGTAAATGTATTCATAAAATAATACCACTATTTTTGGAAAAACATACATATCAACGACAATTATTTTGGGAATGGAAGATAAAATTCAATATTTCAGACTATTTATTTAATGTATAAGCTTCCAAAGTTAACATCAAACAAATATTTAGCGTTGCAGCGAGAAGTTGAAGCTGGGTTATTAGGAGTCGGAAGTTTAAACTCAATTTCGCTCCGAAGAGTTATAGATATGTCTTCCACAACTGGTTTTACAAAAACCCAGTTGTCTGGAGATAGTCTATGCAAATAATTTATGTTGAAGGTAGCATCGCAAAATACCTCTACAATTTCGCTAATGTAATAAAAAGGCTTTACCTACAGCCGCAACCGAAACCATTGGGTTTCGAAAAGTGCAAAAGAACAGCTGGTACGACGAGGAGTGCCGTGTCGCAGCGGAGAGAAAAGAGGCTGCCTACCTCGCAACGTTACAATCGACCACAACACGTGCAGGATGGGATAGATACCGAGAGTTGAAGAGGGAAGCGAGACGCAT